GAGTGGGTGGACGGGGCTGGCAGTGGACCAGGGTTGAGTCTGCTGTGTCTGCCCTGCCCCGCCTCAACCGAGCGTGGTGCTGAGGGGAAGAGGCCGCGCGGTGCCGACTCGCCGCCGTGAGCCCCCTCCCCGCCCGGCGGGTGCCAGTGCCCCGGGGCTGGCACCGATCATTAAATACCTTTGTTGCAACATGGACCGTGCCCCGGGGCGTTTGTACTGACAGCTGTCACCCGCCCACGCATGTGGCCCTTGTCCCACAGGCAGTGCCTGGCAGACCCACGCGTCTGTTACACAACTGTCACCCACGCTGCCATTGTGGGCACAGCCACGTGACTGGTGCCTGCTGCACCCACCTCCCATCTCCACAGCCGCCAGTGCACCTGAAAGGCCAGAAAGGGCCCCCTAAAGTGCCTGAACTATAGAGATGTCGGGGGAGCTTGGTCCAACCAATGTGCTGCTTTTTCCGGGCATATGCTGGGCTTGGTGCAAGAGCATGCGGATTTTGAAGTAAAGCACCGTTTGGGTTTTTTTAAAACACCTTCAAGCAGTCCTTATGCCCAGAAAGCTTTAGACAAAAACTTGTTGTTAATGTAGTTAGAATGTGGTTTCTTACCTGGTCTTTTACATGCATCACCGATTGGATTCGTGGGAAACTCACTCCATGCATATAACTACTTCCTACCCAGCCCCCCATTTCCCCCCCCGATGTACCCCTATCCTCAGTTTTGCTGACAGTACAGGAACAGAAGGACGCAATACTTGTCAAGTTGACAAAAGAGAAACCTAAGTGTTCTGACTGCACGGTTGCTATGGAGCTGTGAAAACAGGGAAACTTGGTTTCATGACATTGTCAAGATAATAAAACACCTGTGCTGGCAAGCCACAAAACTGTGTCAAAAGGTGAGCATGCAGCTCACCAAATCAAATAATCAGTGTGTCCCATCTAATGTCTAACTTCAACAGGATACGACAGATACAATATGAACTCAGTTGCACAAAGCATGCAAGGTCTATTAACCGCAGGTAGAGTAGCCACTTAGCCAATCACAGTAAGGGTAAACCCAAATTTGGTTCTAAATTCCTCTTGAATGTGAATAAATTTGAAGCAAAATTGGATCAAAGTGTGCAGATCTTCAGGTGCCCATAGAAGCATACTGCTCGGAGAACAGATGATTTGAGACACTTTGCAGGTATTGCAGAACCGACAGCTTAGCTGATCTGCTTCAGGCATCATCTGTAAGGGTGTCTTTAACAATTGCGCATAAGAAGTAACAAGGCTTGAACATGCTATATTGGATTTTGTGAGTATACCCTAGTTATTCTCTCTCTTAAATAAAACAACGCTTGCCTCAGAGATCTGCGTGTCTACTTTAAATAACTCACCCATTTGACCCGTTATGGGTACGACACCAGATGTACGTTTACTAGACTAAACATCTTTCCTGATCTAATTAAAACCAGGGGAATAGTTGCATCATTTCAAACATAAAGATTACTACTTCAGTATCCTAACAATACTGGATGCATCTGCATGGGACACTGACTGCACAGTAGCATATCAATGCTAATATGCTACTGCGCAGTATTATTAGACTACTACACAGTTGCATCACTAAAAAGGTGTGTGTTCCTGCACAATAATACTGGTTACTGTCCATTAATTTAGTACTTGATTAGACAAGTACTAAACTTAATGCATACTGACTACAGTGCATTAATGAGCATGTAGATGCACCCATTGTCTCTCAATTTCCCCACAGTGAGAAGTGTCCTTCCAGTTAATCACTGCCTCACTAAATATTCTTACCTAAAAGATAAGAATATGTCAACATCACATTTGTATCTTAATACTATAGGCAGACATAATGACAGCGCTAAGTACAGCTTGATTCTACATATATGTAGAAGTTACACATGTCCTATCAATAAAACAAGCCCAAGAAAATGTGTGTGATAGCCCACAACCCTGCCCCCAGCCCCCACCAAATGTTGTAGGTTCCTGACATCAGGATTCTACATTTAGTCTTACATGGTTTTGAACCTTGCTTACATTGTCATCCTCTTGTGGGCTAAGATCAAGTGTAGTCACTGCACTGGTCTGGTACCTAAGCCAAAATGGATTTTAATGGCATCGTGTAGTGGAAGATGTACCTCTGGCCAAATGCATTGCAGACAGGACACCCTATGAGTCTTGTAATTAGCTTCCTCTGGCCAGCTTCCAGTGGGAGGATCTTGGCTACACGCCTGCTTTAAGGAAATGAGGGATTCCTCCCTAGCTTGCTCCTGTGGCTGTTGGCTGAGGGCAGTCAAGACTCAGGGGCATCTGAACCCTAAGCCAGGCTTGGACCTGCACATAATTCCAAATCCATCAGCAGGCATCCTATCTGATGTCTAGGGTGGAGGATACTTACTGGTTGCAGCACCACATACGGTGTTCAGACAATTGAGTTTTGCTCAGTCAAAAGGATTTGGAACTGATCTGGCTAAATTTGACCTGGAACATGAACTAAAAAAAACAAATTGTTGTCACCGTGTAGTGATTGCAGACTTGTAAAGAACAGATCATCCCCATTCAGGCTTACGTATTTAAACCTTACTGAACTCCATCACCCCAGCATCGTTTTCACCAGCATTTGACACCTGTGTTCAAAAACCTTGTTTGCATCCTGCTATGGGAGTTTGCTGCAAACATTTTTTTACTGACAAAGAAATTACAAAAAACAAAAGTTTATCAAAGTTGGTATATCAAACCATGGTTCTGTGGTTGTAAAGTAAAGTGCTGTTTTGCATATCGCAACAGAATTCAAAATCCTTTTTTTAACTTGTTTTTTTACCCAAGTCCTATTAGTCACCTGTTAATGATAGCACTACAAAACATATTTGCCTTATCTACAATATAATTTTCCCCAAAATGTCTATGATTACTATTGTCAGTATAGTGGTAGCAATATTTGCATAACTTTTCTATGAAAGCATTTTTCTTGTTGTATTGGCATTACAAGGCTCACCCCTTTCCTAAGATTCCTCCTCTCCATATCTTCTGTTATTTTCTCTGGCCACCTTGACTGTTAGGGAGGACGAGTTCCTTCTTACCATAAATTTTTTTGTCAAGTTATAAATCAGCTAGTATCCAATTTACCTGTATAAAGAAATACCATTTTAGAAAAGCATTCCTTCTGTTTAGAGGAAGATTAGCATAAGCTTTCAAAATAGATCTCCCATCTTCTTATGATGAACCAGATTGCTGCTGGAGATTGGTATGCTAGCAGGAACTCCCATAAAACTGTTGTGAAGGGGCATAACAATGCAATGTGCCTATTACAAAATTCCCGTCTCTTAAAGGCTAAGTATAGAGTCAAAAAGCCCAAGGCTTAATCAGTTAATTCTTCACAGGTTAGTCTAAGCTGTTTACACATAACTGATAAGCAAGTGAACAGACATTCACTGTAGTGGCTCAGGCCAGAGACTGGGGCTGCTAGAGCATGCCTCCCTGCTCAGGTGGAGCAGACATTTTGGGACATGGCTAGCCTGCCCACTCTGCAAGGAGTTTATGGGGGTTTATGGGGGAGATGCAAAGTATTCTGGGATGCTCAGGGACTACAAGTTAACTTGAATCCGGAGGGGATTCTGGGACAGAATTTCAATAAACTGATTTAATCCAAATCAGTTAAATCTGATACTACCTCCATCCAGATTTACCTTAAACCATTTTTGGCTATTTGAAAGCAGTTTATATGCACTGATCTTCTCTTGTGCTGGTTTTTGTGTCATTTCTGTCCCTATCCTAAATGTTTATGCTTCTATAAATAGACCACCCTGACTCAGATCAATTTTGACTAGAATGATTCCTACAGGTGAAGAGATTTGTTTTTTAACCATGGATATTTTAGGAGTTCTATGCCCAACTTATTAAACAAAATATTAATCAAAATTGTAACTCCATTCAAAATGCAAAAAAGTATGTGTGTGTCAAACGAAATATAGCAGGAA